AATCGTGACAAGAGGAATATTCAGTGTTATAATTGCAATCAATTTGGCCACTATAGCACTGAATGTCAAAAGAAAGCTCCACTAGAGATACGTGAGCGAGTCAACTATGCAGAAGAGGATGTCAACAGTAGAGGAGCAGCTGCATTATTTGTCCAACAAGGACTTGACAAGAATCAAGAGAATATTTAGTATCTTGATTCTGGAGCCAGCAATCACATGTGTGGTCAACGAGATTTATTTGGTGATCTAGATGAGACCATACAAGGTTTTATCACCTTTGGAGATACGTTAAAAGTTCCATTCAAAGGTAAAGGTAACATCCCAATCAAGTTGAAGAATGGCGATCATAGCTACATCGCCGATGTCTACTATGTCCCAGCCATAAAGCAGAACTTGGTGAGCATAGGTCAACTTTTGGAGAGAGGCTATACACTTTACATGAAGAATTGTCATCTGACAATTACAGACTACAATGGAAGATTAATTGCCTATGTGAAAATATCCAAGAATAGGATGTTTCCTTTAAACATCCAATATGATGCAGCAAAGTGTTTGAGTGCCATCACCAACAGTGAAGAATGGCTTTGGCACCTGAGGCTTGGACATCTGAATTTCACAAGTCTGAAGATGCTAGCAAGCAAGAAGATGGTCAAAGGTATGCCCCACATTGATCATTTAGAAGAAGTCTGTGAGAGTTGTGTCCTCAGCAAACATCACAGATCCAGTTTTGCCAAAGAAGTCAACTAGAAAGCAAACAAGCCACTAGAGTTAATACACACAGATGTGTGTGGTCCTATAAAGCCTATGTCGACTGGACAAAATAGGTACTTCCTCACTTTTATTGATGATTTTAGCAGAAAGACATGGGTATATTTTTTGAAGAGGAAGTCAGAAGTGTTCAATTGTTTTAAAGATTTTAAAGCAATTGTTGAGAAGCAAAGTGGCTATAAGATCAGAACCATGAGATCTAATCAAGGTGGAGAATATACAGCAAATGATTTTGAAGCCTTTTGTACACAACAAGGCATCAGACATCAGACAACACCAGCTTATACACCACAGCTGAATGGTGTAGCTGAGAGGAAGAATCGAACAATTCTTGATATGGCAAGAAGTCTACTCAAAGCAAAGAAGCTACCCAAGCAATACTGGGCTAAAGTTGTATCATGTGCAGTATATTTGCGGAACCGCTGCCCAACCAGAAGTTTGCAAGCTATCACTCCACAAGAAGTATGGAGTGGTCACAAACCAAGTGTTACTCATCTTCGAGTCTTTGGTTGTGTGGAATATGCAAAGATCCCAGATGCAAGAAGGACCAAACTCGATGATAAAAGTGAGAAATGCATCTTTGTCGGATATGGTGAGAGAAGAATGGGATACAAGCTGTATAATCCCATCACCAAGAAGGTAATTATGAGCAGAGATGTTATCTTTGAAGAAGATAGAACTTGGCAATGGAATGATGACCAAGAAGCAGTTAAATGGATCAACACTGATTTGATCCTTGAAGATGAAGAAGTACCAACAGTACTTGTAGAAGGTCCAATAGTACCAAAAGATGAGCCACAAAGTCCGGTACACAGATTTCCTGTATTCAATAGGAGAAACACGTCAGAATCATCATCAACACCATCATTACCAGAACCATCATCAGCATCCTCATCAGAAGGACCAGGAAGGATGAGAAATCTAAAAGAGCTGTATGACGCCACTCAAGTAATGGAAGATACAACTCTATTTTGTTTCTTTGCAGATAGTAACCCACTTAGCTTCAATGAAGCTATCACAGAAGAGAAGTGGATAAAAGCAATGGATGAAGAAATATATGCCATTGAGAAGAATGATACCTGGAAGCTGACTTATCTACCAGAAAACAAGAAAGCAATAGGTGTCAAATGGGTCTATAAGACAAAGAAGAATGCAAAAGGAGAAGTGCAAAGATACAAAGCAAGATTAGTGGCGAAAGGCTACAAACAGAGAGAAGGCATTGACTAAGGAGAAGTGTTTGCTCCAGTAGCCCGGCTAGAGACAATCAGACTGATGATCTCACTAGCAGCACAACATAGATGGAAGATCTATCAACTTGATGTGAAGTCAGCATTTCTGAATGGCTTCCTAGAAGAAGAGATCTATGTTGAACAACCACTTGGATACATTGATGCTGAAAATGAAGGCAAAGTATACAAGTTGAAGAAAGCCCTCTACGGTTTGAAGCAAGCTCCGCGTGCTTGGAATACTAGAATTGACAGGTATTTTCAAGATAATGGATTTGAAAAATGTCCATATCAACACGCAATTTATGTGAAGAAAGAAGTAGATGGCAGCATATTATTTGTGTGCCTATATGTTGATGACTTGATATTCACCGGCAACAATCCTACCATGTTCGAAGACTTCAAGAAAAGCATGGTGCAAGAGTTTGAGATGACAGACATTGGTCTGATGGCACATTTTCTTGGCTTAGAAGTGGTGCAGAAAGAAGAAGGGATTTTTGTATCCCAAAGCAGTTATGCCAAAGATATTCTTGAAAGGTTCAAGATGGAAAGCTGCAATCCGGTATCAACTCCAGTTGAGAATGGAGTGGAATTAAAGAAAAGTAAAGTTGGAAATGTTGATCCAACTTACTTCAAAAGCTTAGTAGGAAGCTTAAGGTACTTGACATGTACCAGACCAGATATACTCTACGAAGTCGGATTGATCAGCAGATATATGGAGAAGCCAGACCAGTCTCATTTGAATGCAGCCAAGAGAATTCTTCGCTACATCAAAGGCACAATAAATGAAGGTATGTTTTATACCTCAAGTATAAATTTCAATCTTACTGGCTACTCGGATAGTGATTGGGGTAGAGATCTGGATGAAAGAAAAAGTACAACAGGGTTTGTATTTTTCGTGGGAGATACATCTTTCACATGGTCATCCAAAAAGCAATCAATTGTCACATTATCAAGCTGTGAAGCTGAGTATGTTGTTGCCAACTCAGTTGTATGCCATTTAATATGGTTAAGGAATTTGCTGAAGTTTTTGGGATTTCCTCAAGAAAATCCTACAGAGATTTATATCGATAATCGATCAGCGATTGCATTGGCAAAGAATCCGGTGTATCATGAAAGAAGTAAACATATTGATACACGTCATCACTTTATTCGAGAGCATGTAAAGAACAAAGAAGTCGAGCTGATATCCTGCAAGACAGATGATCAAGCTGCAGATATCTTTACCAAGCCATTGAAAAGAGAAGTATTTATCAGATTGAAATTCATGCTTGGAATGACATCCCTCGATTGAGTTTAAGGGGGAGATTTGTTGAAGTAAACTCAATCCAGAAGGTCAAGGAAGGCAACCACCAGCTGTCACCGCCCAGCCACCAACCGACCAGCCGCCAGCCGCTTTCACACCGTCGGCCAAAAACCGCCTTCACACTTGAAGGTTGAATTTTCTTGTTTTGATTTCGTGTATAAATAGATAGCTAAACTTATGCAATTATGTGTGGAGAGATTGAGAGAAACACTAGAAAGAGAGAAAGAGAAAGGGGTTGTTGTAAGCTTTTGTTTATGTTATTGTAAGCTTTGTTCTTGAAATAAAAAAGTATATTTTATCCCCTCTGAGTGTTTCAAAGCCACCACAAGTGGTTTCTCCCACCAACATGGATATATACCTTTAATCTTGCTAAATTTGTGGTCCCCCTTCGATACATGTATCTATGCTTGCGTGAGGGCAAATATATATTCCTTTGATACTACTATGTTACTGTAATATCAATTGTGTGCTGTAAAAATAAATTATCAGAGATTATTTTAAAATATTTTAATTATATGTTGGAAAGCGTTGTAAAAATGAATTTTCAGAAATTATTTTAAAATGTTTTTATTTCATGTTGAAAGATTTGTCTTTTTAAAATGGTCCACCTTCGTAGGCATACCCCAACCAAAATCAGCAAGGGCTTGATGGGTCCTGCACAACATGGAGATACGTGCTATGTCCCTCCTCCTAAATCCCACTACATCCTTAATTTTCTAAATTTAAGCATGAAAGAAATCTCAAAATAGCAACTCCTTGGCCATTCTCTTGAACACATCAAAATCCTAGTTGTCAGCCTCAGGACTCAAATTTCCACGTCTATATGTAATTATCATTAATTAATTTGCATGTGAAAAAGTTGTCTTTGTAATTAAATTTCTAGTTTATCTTTTTATTCAACAAGGGCTTGATGGGTCCTGCACAACGTAGAGATACGTTATATGTCCCTCCTCCTAAATCCCGCTACATCCTTAATTTTCTAAATTGAAGCATGAAAGAAACCTCAAAATAGCAACTCCTTGGCCGTTATACCTTGAACACAGCAAAATCCTAGTTATCAGGTCAGACAAGAATAGGGTTGTTGACACGTGAATAGTCCATTCTCAAGAAAATTAATGACAATAATTTGATGTTCACAGGAAAATGATTGCAAGTTATTTTTTTAAATGTTTCGAGCCCATATTCGGTTGTTTCCACATTCGAGCTTCCCATGACACTGACATATGAACCCATGGCAAAAACAGATCGTGTATAAATTGAAAACGTTTGCTGGAAAGATTATGCTTGCTTTGAATAATAATAATAATAAAATATCACTTAAGAAATACTCTCGTTATCATATATTTTATTGTCCCTACACAACCCCCCTAATAAAATATATATTGATCGTACATAATATGAATTCCAGTGATAATTTCTCAAATTTACGAATACTCATCTCATTTTGTCAGGCAATTAACTCTGAGATTTCAGGAATCATTGACCAGTTGGTGTGATGTAGTTGAAGACATAGAAAGGCACAAACATGAAAAGGCGTTATGGTATCCAATTGCCCACTGGGCACTAGCACAGCGCATTTTCCACTTATTTATTTCCGCCACATCTTTCTGCAAAGATAGATATGCTATAAAGATTTCTACTCTCCACTATCAAGAGCACAGCCATTCTGAAAGGCGAGAAAAAACTATCTGTGATTCAGTTTTACTCTTTTTTCACAACAACAATGGCTGAGGAGGTGACACTGCTGGATTTCTGGGCAAGCCCTTTTGGCATGAGAGTGAGAATAGCATTGGCAGAGAAGGGAGTGAAGTATGAGTACAGTGAACAGGACTTGAGGGACAAGAGTGCATTGCTTCTTCAGATGAACCCAGTGTACAAGAAGATTCCAGTTCTCGTCCACAGAGGAAAACCAGTTTGTGAGTCCCTTATTATTGTTCAGTATATTGATGATGTGTGGAGGGACAAGGCTCCTTTGCTACCTTCTGATCCTTACGAGAGAGCTCAGTCCATGTTCTGGGCTGATTTTATTGATAAAAAGGTATGGATATATGTACCTTTAATCTTGCTAAATCTTTGGTCCCCCTTCGATGACGATACATGTATCTCTGCTTGCGTGAGGAGAAATATATATTCCTTTGCTACTGTTATGTTACTGTAATATCAATTATTTGCTGTAAAAATGAATTCTTAGAGCTTATTTCAAAATGTTCTTATTTTATATTGAAAAGTGTTTTCAGAGTTTATTTCAAAATGTTTTCATTTCTTATCAGAAATATTTTATTTTTTTAAGTTAAAGTATTTAAAGTAAAAATATTTTTATATCTCATGTTAGAAAAACACAAAATATCACTTCACTTAAAACATTAAATTTACTGGATTTTCTTGCTGGTATTTTCCTTGTTGTTTTTGCATCCCTCCTTTCGAGGAAGAACCTACTGAATCCTGGTGGATAATAATTTTATGTGGGTAAATATCTTTAAGGAAAGTAAATATTTTTAAGGACATTACTTGTGCACGTCTATTTAGGTTTTGTGTTCTGCTATATTATTTTTGTGATGAAGTGCTGTGAATCTTCAGATACATGATCTTTCTAGGAAGATATGGACAACAAAAGGAGAAGAACTAGAGGCGGCAAAGAAGGGTTTCTTTGAATGCCTTGAGTTATTGGAGGGAGAACTAGGAGAGAAGCCTTATTTTGGGGGTGAGACTCTGGGGTATGTGGATATTGCCTTTCTTCCTTTCTGTTGCGGGTTTTCTACTTATGAGACCATCGGAAACTTCAGCATAGAAGCTCAATGCCCCAAGATCATTGCATGGGCTAACAGGTGCCTGCAAAAAGAGAGTGTAGCCAAGCCTCTTGCAGAACCTGGAAAGGTCCACGAGTTGGTTTTGGAGATAAGGAAGAGCCTTGGGTTTGATTGATGAGAAGGATATGGTCAAGGCAGTAAGATGTTTTTTTATTTTTATTAGTAGTTCATGTGGTTGATCTCCATGTTGGGGTTGTTTCTCTTACAAATAATATTGAACTTTCTGTGCGTAATTCTGTGGCACTTGGCTTTGCGATGTGTGCTTTGAAGCTTTTCCTTGAATCTGAACTAGCTGCCATTTTCTTGGATCTGTACTAGTTGGTATTTATATTTGATGTGCTAATTTTTGCTCGGAAAAGAGAAGGAATGAGAATTTATTGATTACACGATTTTTTTTATTTAAAATTATGTCAGTCTTTTTTACTGTATAAAAAAGTTAAAAATTATATTTACAGCTCACAAGTCATGAATACCCTCTACAACTTTCCATGTTATTTTTTAAAATATTTTCATTGATGTGTTATTTTACTAAATTTTAATTTTTATGGTGCTATAGTCGGAAAATGCTCTAAGAAACTAAACATATTTCAAGCTGGCCAAGAATAATGTTGCAGACTCGTGAATAGCCAATTCTCAAGAAAATGACAATAATTTGATGTTTTCAAGAAAATGATTGCATGTTTTGGAGCCCAGATTTGGTGGTTTCCCCTTTCGTGCTTCCCGTGACTCTGACATAAGGACCCATGGCAAAAACATATCGTATACGAATTGACTTGAAATTACCAAAGCTGTCCTTAGTTTTCTTCATGCAAAGCCTGAAAAAGTTTCAAATCCAAGGACACAACCTCGATTAGACTTCCAATATATCTCAACAAATTTTATATATTGAAATCTCATGATTGAGATAATCTAATTTATTTTCTCTGACTGAGATAATTTGTAACTAAAATCTAAGGATATGCCAAGAGTTTTTTATAGTGAATTTAAGGATTTTTTAATGATTAAATAATTTTTTTTAAAAAAAATACAATAATGTTTTAAAAAGAAATTAATTCTAAAAATAAATATGTTGTGAAGTATAGAGACTCCCCTCATTTTTTAAATTTTAATTGATATTTATAATTCATTATCTTTTTTGTCAAAAAGAAAAGATCAAGGAAACATATCCTTAACTTGATCTTAGAAAAAAAAAAATCTTTATACACTTGAATTATATACTTGGCTGAGTCTTGACAAGTCAAGTTTAATAGATTATTAGACTAATATATGATTAGAAACAATGTCTGACTGAACTTAAAAAAATTAGGTTTAACAGATTATCATATTTAATATCTAGACTCAGTGCTTGGCCGAGTCTAAAAGAACTGAGTCTCGCAAATTATCAAACTTATTAAAAGCTAGCTAAGTCTAAAAAATTTAACTCTAACATATTATCACACTCAATTTCCAGGTTCAATGCTTAGTCGAGCTCAAGAAAACAAAGTCTCGCAAATTATCAAACTTGTTAAAAGTTGGCTAAACCTAAAGAAGTTAGATCTAACAGATTGTCATACTCAATCTCCAAGTTCAATGCTTGGTCAAACCCAAAAGAACCGAGTTTGACAAATTATTTAACTTCTTAAAAGCTAGCTACGCCTAAAGAAGTTAGGTCTAATAGATTGTCAAATTTAATGTCCAAATTTAGTGCTTGGTCGAGCCTAACAAAACTGAATATGAAAAATTATCAGACTTATTAAAAGATGAGTTTGATAAATCACAAGACTCGTATATAATTGGGATTAATATTTAACCGGTTTCTAGTTTTGTTAATTAAAAAACCAAAATAAAAACAAAATATGTTAATCTATCACACTTTTTATTAGTTTCAAATAACAAAAGTTGTTAATTTACTGTAACTTCTTCAACTGCATAATATAATTGATTATAAAAAATATATAAGAGTTTTATATTATCACTCATCATGTATTGTATTGTAAGATAACTATTTAAAAAAATATACTTTTCATTTAAGAAAATATTCCTTAAATTAAAAGTATTCCTTAAATTATGAACCATAAATATCACAGGAAATTAAGAATCTAGATGGTTTTCATAGGAAAGAGAAGTCATCACTTTCATAAAATGAATATTAAATATTTTTATTAACTAGAAAATGTTGAAAGGATATAATTTAGAATTCATTGATATGTTGAAAAACTAATTTAGATGAGAAATAGATTGGATATCTAATTAAGATTTTTCATATCAGTTAGGGATTCTTACAAGGTTTGCACTTTCCCTTAATTATATATGCTCTTAACCAATTTACCAACACAATAATTTTAATTTCTTTTGATATATATTTTTCAACTAAAAGTATAAATATAATTCTTGCATGCATATTCGTTATCAAACCATCAACAACATTTATGTACCTGGTAACCACATTAATTATATAAATCCATATACGAGGGCTTAATTATTAAAAAAGAAGAAGATTAAAGACAATCCTAATCAAAGATAGTTTGTTGACAAGATTAGTGCTTTAAATAATAATAATAATAATAATAATCACATAAGAAATACTCTCGTTATCATATATTTTATTTTTCCTTACACAATCCCCTTAATGAAATTGATCGTACATAATATTCCGTTTATAATTTCTCAAATTTATGAATAATTATCTCATTTTTTCAGGGGTAATTAACTCTGAGATTTCCTTGTCTATTTTTCAGGAATCATTGACTAGATGGCGTGATTTAGTTGAAGACATGGAAAGGAACAAACATGAAACTGTGATATGATATCTAATTGCCCACAGGGCAGTACTAGCACAGCACATTTTCCACTCATTTATTTCCGCCACATCTTTCTGCAAAGATAGATATGCTATAAAGATCTCTACTTTCCACTATCAAGAGCACAGCCATTCTGAAAGGCGAGAAAAAACTATCTGTGATCCAGTTTTACTCCTTTTCACAAAAACAATGGCTGATGAGGTGAAACTAATGCTGGAATTTCAGGCAGGCGCCCCTTTTAGTGTGAGAGTCAAAATAGCATTGGCAGAGAAGGGAGTCAAGTATGATGTGTTAAGTGAACAGAACCCGAGGGACGAGAGTCAATTGCTTCTTCAGATGAACTCAGTATCCAAGCAGCTCCCAACTCTCATCCACAATGGAAGACCAGTTTGTGAGTCCCTTATTATTGTTCAGTATGTTGACGATGTATGGAAGGGAAATTCCCCTCTCCTGCCTTCTGATCCTTACCAAAGAGCCCAGTCCAGATTCTGGGCAGGTTTTATTGACAAGAAGGTACGTATGCATGGGAACTGGACTTTGCAAGGTCTTTTGTTCTAGGTACTGTTTAGTCCGCTTTACAATATAATGTGCTATGAATCTTTCAGGTATATGAGATCACTAAGAAGATATGGACTACGAAAGGAAAAGAACTGGAGGGAGCAAAAAAGGATTTTATCGATTGCCTCAAGCTGTTGGAAGGAGAGCTTGGAGACAAACCTTATTTCGGCGGAGAGAACCTCGGGTATGTGGATGTTGCGTTCGTTCCTTTCTACTGCTGGTTTTATGCCTATGAGACCTGTGGAAACTTCAGCATAGAGGCTGAGTGCCCCAAGATCATTGCATGGGCTAAGAGATGCATGCAAAAAGAGAGTGTATCCAAGTCTCTTGAAGACCCAAAAAATGTGTACAAGTTCGTCTTGGAGCGCAGGAAGAGGTTTGGGGTGGATTAAGAGGAAACACATACGCATGCATTAGCAGACGATCCGTATGATTTCCTCATCCTGGGGTTGTTTTTCTTTCGAATAATGGGAGCTCTTCGTGGCTGTGCCTTCCCTTCTGTTGTTCTATTGTGATGCTGGAGCCTGGGAGCACATCGTTGTGACTGGGCCTGGCAGAGTTTGTGGAGTTTGTTTTCGTCTGTTTAGCCTCTCTTGTCGTACTGTTTTCACTAGTTATTAAAATAATGTGTTAAGATTATCTTACTGGCTGATGATTATGGTATCTTTGGAACACGGTTGTTTCATTAAAATTAAAAAAACAATTATTTAAATTTAATTTTATTATATTTTTTTATTTTGATATACAGATATTAAAAATAAATTTTAAAAAATAATATTTTAAAAAATAATTATTAGTATATTTTTAAAAACACTCTGGGACAAAAGAGATGTCCTCTCAAGCAATTCAACACCACATAATGTTTTCTAATAAATTGGAAAGACAGACAAGTACACAATGGTAATCAATTAGTAATTCTATCCAATTACTTGTTGTTTTTTTAAATAAATTTTTTTAATTTTTTATATTTATAAATTATTTTGATATACTAATATTAAAAATAAATTTTAAATTATAAAATAAAAAATATAGTTTTGATAGCTTTCAATGAGATGTAATAATTGAGTTTTAAATATCAATTATGACTTAATTAAATATACTATATTTTAAAATATTTTTTTGTTTATGTTATTTTACTAGAAATTTAGTTTTACTGTTTGAGTTTTTCTCTCTATAAATTTGAGAATTTTTAATATAAAGACCATCAAATGAAAATAAATCTCGTAAGTTTTTAATATTAAAATTTTTATTTACATTAATTCAGTATGTTAAATTAATATTTAATTACTTTTTGATATTGAATTATATTGTAACATCATTATAAATTTAAATCTAGGTTGGTTGAAAAAATCTAAAATTTTAGTTTCTTATGAATGTTATAAAATCCTCTTAATTATAAATTAAACAAACACAAAATAAAACCTTATTTTTATCGTCTTTGTGCACTGCATAACAATCATTATCAAATCAACAGACAATCATTATCAAATTAACCAGACGTTGCTTTAAGACAAAGTTTAAGGAGGGGGTTAGAGATTTTTATTTTTATTTTTATTTTTTCCTAAATCCATTTGAGGATTGGACAATAATTAGAGATGAATATGTCCTCTGTCCTAAAAAAAAGTTGATTAACACGAAGCAACTTTTTTAATTAACTAAACCTAATCAAAGTTCTTTTCAGAAAAAAAAAACATCAAATCAAAGCTTTGGACCTCTTCAATTTCATTTTCATTTAACATCCTAAAACTTAAATAACTTTAATTACAATTTTTTTTAATTAAAATTTTATTGATGGTTTCGAATTCCTTGATTGAATCAAATTTTAATTATATAAGTTGTGCTTAAATAAAAAGAAAAGAAAAGGAAATATGAGGTTCTGGTTGTTAATTAACAAAACGTGCAACTCTCGAGGAGTGAATTGTAATTTATCCTATGCCTTCCATTGATTATACATTATATCTTATACAATAAACATAAAAGAAAGTGTAATTTCACGTTATTGTCGTTATTGTTTACTCTATTAATATTAGAATAATATTGTATTTTTTAATATAATATTAAACGTGTATATATATATATATATATACATATGTGTGTGTGGTCGAAAGGAAAAAGGTATGGATATATACCTTTAATCTTGCTAAATCAATATAATATTAAACGTGTATATATATATATATATATACATATGTGTGTGTGTTCGAAAGGAAAAAGGTATGGATATATACCTTTAATCTTGCTAAATCTATGGTTCGATACATGTATGATGTATCCACGCTCGCGCGTGAGGACAAATATATATACCTTTGCTACTGCTATGTTACTGTTATATCAATTATGTGCTGCAAAAATAAATTATAGAGATTATTTCAAAATATTTTTATTCTATGCTGGAAAGCCTTATAAAAATGAATTTTCAGAAATTATTTTAAAATGTTTTTATTTCATATTGAAAGGTTTATCTTCTTTTTTTAAGTTACAGTATCTAAAGTAAAAATATTTTTATATTCCACATTAAAAAAACACAATTTTCCTTCTTATGAATATGATATACACACACACGCACACACTAATGGATTATAAGCTTATATTCTACCATTTATTTTCTAACTAGCTGTTGCAGATTTTAATTCTCCTGGGCTATAAGTTTATATATACACCTGCCCTTTTAAAGACAAAAAACATTACATACACACCTATATTTTTTAAGACAAAATATAACTGGACTTAAAACATCTAAACTTGCTGGATTTTCTTGTTATTATTTTCCTTGTTTCTGCATCCCTCCTTTCGAGGAAGAACCTAGCTATTGAATCCTGATCGACAATTTTATGTAGGTAAATATCCTCAAAGAACATTACGTGAGTAAATATCCTTAAGGACTTTGTTTGTGCACACCCTTAAGTTTTGTGTTCTACTATATTCTGTTCATTATATTCCCAACATTAGTCTGTGATATTTTTGGCATTTTACTTCCTTTTACATAATTAGGACTTCATTTCTGTGATGATATGCCGTGAATCTTCAGGCAATGATCTTTCTAGGAAGATATGGACAACAAAAGGAGAAGAACTAGAGGCGGCAAAGAAGGGTTTCTTTGAATGCCTTGAGTTATTGGAGGGAGAACTAGGAGAGAAGCCTTATTTTGGGGGGTGAGACTCTGGGGTATGTGGATATTGCCTTCTTCCTTTCTGTTGCGGGATTTATACTTATGAGACCATCGGTAACTTCAGCATAGAAGCTCAATGCCCCAAGATCATTGCATGGGCTAACAGGTGCCTGCAAAAAGAGAGTGTAGCCAAGTCTCTTGCAGAACCTGGAAAGGTCCACGAGTTGGTTTTGGAGATAAGGAAGAGCCTTGGGTTTGATTGATTAGGAGGATATGGTCATGGCAGTAAGATGTTTTTTTTTTTAATTAGTAGTTCATGTGGTTGATATCCCTGTTGGTGTTGTTTCTTTTACAAATAATATTGAACTTTCTGTACGTAATTCTGCGGCACTTAGCTTTGCTCCTTGGTTGACTAGGAACTGTACGTAATTCTCAAACCTTTTTTTTTTTTTTTCTGGTTGTTGCTTGAAAACCAGGGAAGGGAAAGGAAGGGAAGGAGATAGGAGAGGAAGACAGAAAGGTTACTAGCCATGTCAGGACTTGAAGGGTGACATGTGTTATCCAGTAAGGAAGACCTGACAAGAAAATTCCGGCATTGTCGAAGCTGAAAGAAAGCTGCATGCGCCCCCATTCGTTTTAAAGCTTTTCATGCGAATTAAGCACAATTTGCATCTCAGAAGTACTGCGTAGCCGAACGGGCTAGAAATCTGATAGCTACTGTTAAATATTTGTTTTGCCTACAGTTGCTGTCTAGTACTGCTGTTCTCCACTAGCAATCTGGTCTTGGTTTAAGACAAGAGTACCATCGACAAATAGCGAATTGAAAATCTCCATTTTATGCTTTAATAAAACAAAGCCAATCTCAATTCCACCCCTTCCATCTGCCTTTGCCTGCATAGAGATTTTTTTCGGATAATCATTGATAAAACCACTAACCATATTGCATAGAGATTGATCCTGTCTTATCAATGGAAGGAGTCTCCACCTTCATAGGCATACCCCAACCAAAATCAGCAAGGGCTTGATGGGTCCTGCACAACATGGAGATACGTGCTATGTCCCTCCTCCTAAATCCCACTACATCCTTAATTTTCTAAATTTAAGCATGAAAGAAATCTCAAAATAGCAACTCCTTGGCCATTCTCTTGAACACATCAAAATCCTAGTTGTCAGCCTCAGGACTCAAATTTCCACGCCTATATGTAATTATCATTAATTAATTAGCATGTGAAAAAGTTGTCTTTCTAATTAAATTTCTAGTTTATCTTTTTATTCAACAAGGGCTTGATGGGTCCTGCAGAACGTAGAGATACGTTATATGTCCCTCCTCCTAAATCCCGCTACATCCTTAATTTTCTAAATTGAAGCATGAAAGAAACCTCAAAATAGCAACTCCTTGGCCATTATACCTTGAACACAGCAAAATCCTAGTTATCAGGTCAGACAAGAATAGGGTTGTTGACACGTGAATAGTCCATTCTCAAGAAAATGACAATAATTTGATGTTCACAGGAAAATGATTGCAAGTTATTTTTTTAAATGTTTCGAGCCCATATTCGGTTGTTTCCACATTCGAGCTTCCCATGACACTGACATATGAACCCATGCCTAAAACAGATCGTGTATAAATTGACTTGAAATTACCAAAGCTATCCTTAGTTTTCTTCAGGCAAAAACTGAAAAAGTTTGTTGGCAAGATTATTGCTTACTTCGAATAAAAAAAATATATCACTTAAGAAATACTCTTGTTGTCATATATTTTATTTTCCCTAAACAATCCCCCTAATAAAATATATATTGATAGTACATAATATGAATTCCAGTGATAATTTCCCAAATTTACGAATAATCATCTCATTTTGTCAGGGTAATTAACTCTGAGATTTCAGGAATCATTGACCGGTTGGTGTGATGTAGTTGAAGACATAGAAAGGCACAAACATGAAAAGGCGTTATGGTATCCAATTGCCCACTGGGCACTAGCACAGCACATTTTCCACTTATTTATTTCCGCCGCATCTTTCTGCAAAGATAGATATGCTATAAAGATTTCTACTGTCCACTACCAAGAGCACAGCCATTCTGAAAGGCGAGAAAAACCTACCTGTGATTCAGTTTTACTCTTTTTCACAACAACAATGGCTGATGAGGTGACACTGCTGGATTTCTGGGCAAGCCCTTTTGGCATGAGAGTGAGAATAGCATTGGCAGAGAAGGGAGTGAAGTATGAGTACAGTGAACAGGACTTGAGGGACAAGAGTGCATTGCTTCTTCAGATGAACCCAGTGTACAAGAAGATTCCAGTTCTCGTCCACAGAGGAAAACCAGTTTGTGAGTCCCTTATTATTGTTCAGTATATTGATGATGTGTGGAGGGACAAGGCTCCTTTGCTACCTTCTGATCCTTACGAGAGAGCTCAGTCCATGTTCTGGGCTGATTTTATTGATAAAAAGGTATGGATATATGTACCTTTAATCTTGCTAAATCTTTGGTCCCCCTTCGATGACGATACATGTATCTCTGCTTGCGTGAGGAGAAATATATATTCCTTTGCTACTGTTATGTTACTGTAATATCAATTATTTGCTGTAAAAATGAATTCTTAGAGCTTATTTCAAAATGTTCTTATTTTATATTGAAAAGTGTTTTCAGAGTTTATTTCAAAATGTTTTCATTTCTTATCAGAAATATTTTATTTTTTTAAGTTAAAGTATTTAAAGTAAAAATATTTTTATATCTCATGTTAGAAAAACACAAAATATCACTTCACTTAAAACATTAAATTTACTGGATTTTCTTGCTGGTATTTTCCTTGTTGTTTTTGCATCCCTCCTTTCGAGGAAGAACCTACTGAATCCTGGTGGATAATAATTTTATGTGGGTAAATATCTTTAAGGAAAGTAAATATTTTTAAGGACATTACTTGTGCACGTCTATTTAGGTTTTGTGTTCTGCTATATTATTTTTGTGATGAAGTGCTGTGAATCTTCAGATACATGATCTTTCTAGGAAGATATGGACAACAAAAGGAGAAGAACTAGAGGCGGCAAAGAAGGGTTTCTTTGAATGCCTTAAGTTATTGGAGGGAGAACTAGGAGAGAAGTCTTATTTTGGGGGTGAGACTCTGGGGTATGTGGATATTGCCTTTCTTCCTTTCTGTTGCGGGTTTTCTACTTATGAGACCATCGGAAACTTCAGCATAGAAGCTCAATGCCCCAAGATCATTGCATGG